TTGCACCTTTGCAGTCAAATCTTATCGCACCTCCCAGGCCGCAGCAGTTTGACCGTCCGCCTGCCGCGTCTCCCCTCCGCCTCCATACCTGCACGTTTGCTAGAATGTCACAGTAATGGGACATACGACAAAGTTTTTGTCTGACTTCTTTCGATTTTGTTTTGCCAATGAAACATCTTAGAGAATTAGCCATTTTGTTCTATGGATCTGTAGCTGGCCTCTTTTATTGCTGAATTAATGTTCATTATCTAGATAAGCTGTGCTGCAATTTGTAGATCTATTCACTCGTGGATGGTCATGTTAATTTCCAATTTGGTTCTATTTTGAGTAAAGATTTTAGAATCATTTACAAGCTTTTTGTATGATTTATGTTTTTGTTTCTTTATAGCAAGTCCTAGAAATGAAACTGCTAAGCCATTTTGTAAGAGACTGCTTACTGTTTTAAAAATGGGCTGTATTATTGTTATTTATTTTTTAAGTTATTTATTTGAAAGAGTGATACACACACCACACACACTCACTCACACACATATGCACACACCACACAGTCGTACACACACACACTCACTCACACACTCGCCACATACACATACTCGCACGCACACCATACCCTGCCCCCCCCCCACACACACACTGGTGGGGGACGAGAGAGAATCTCCCAGCTAGTAGTGTGCTTTCCAAACATGCTCACTTGGAAATACAGCGGGGGTTGTGCCAGGCTGGAGTCAAGAACTTCTTGGACACTGTTTCCTTCCCAGCTTCACTAGGAAGAAATTGAATTCAAATGGAAGAGGCAGGACTCAAGACAGTAATCCCATCTGAGATGTCGCTGCCCCAGGCAGTGGCTTACCTGAACTGCATCCCAGCTTTTCCCCCATTGCACTGTTTGGGCATTCTGCTTGCTTTACATCTTTATTGGAATTCGGTCTTTGTTTTAGTCATTCAAGGGGATTATAACATTCCCCGTGGCTTTCGCAGACATATCCCTGATGCCTGCTGTTGTTGAAAATATCTTTATGCTTTGATTTGCTGTCTTTCTGCTTGTTTTGGTGACAGACCTGTTTACATTTGTTACAGTTTTTATCAGGACATTTTATATTATTATTAAATGACAAGATGCATTTATATACTTTGGGTGGAAGTCCCTTATGAGATGTTTTGTGAATGTTTTCTCTCGATCTGTGGCTTTCAATAAGTGCCCCCACACTATGCGAAACTTTTTAAAGGAATAAAAGATCATAATTTTTATGAAATTTGAAGTTACCTCTTTTATTTCATCTGTCCCTTCTAATAAATCTTTGCCAAACCCAAGGTCACAAAGATTTTCTTTTATGTCTGTGGCTGAAATTGTTGTGTACTTATTTAAATCTAGAATTATTCATTGTTATTTTATTTGGAAGGCAGAAATACATTTTCTATTGAACGGTTCACTTCCCAGAAGTTCACACTGGCCAGACGGAAGCCAGGAGCCCGCAGCTCAGTTGGCTCTCCCACGCACATGGCAAGGACCCAGGTGTAGGAAGGGTCGTTTTCCAACTCCCTGAGTGAACAGGAAGTCAGGTTGGACTCACACGGCTTGAACCAGGCACTCTGGCAACAGCATAGCTCCTGAGTCACTGCTCACTCCACTTGGAAATAGCCTTTAGGTGTGGTGTACTTTTTGAATTTGGGCATTTTATTTTCAAAAAAATTATCCGCTCACTGGAGGTCTTTTGAAAGCTTTTGAGGAAATGCACTGATCATCCATGTGGGCGTCTGTTTCTGAGTCTGTTCTTCCTGCAGACCATATGTGTGTCTCTGCGTGTCAATGGCAGGCTGTCGTATGGAGGCAGCTTTGCAAGAAGTCTTGACATCAAGTGATGGAACTCGTCCAACTTTGCTCTTCTTTTCCAAAATCATTTTTTGTGTGTCAGGTCCTTTTGATTATCATATAACTTTAAAAATAGTTTATGATTGAGCAAATCCTGCTGGTGTTTTCATTGGACTTGCATTAACTCTATAGATCACATTTATATTTTGTGTCTTGTTCATACTGTGTTGTCAAACCATGACCATTGTCTGTCTCTGCATTAAGACATCAGCAGGTCTTCCTTAAATCCTTTCCATGGTGTCTAAGCTTTCTTAATGCATAGATATTGGCAAGCATTCTGTGGAAAATATTACTGTTTTATGTTTTATGCAATAGTAACAGTATACTTAATTTGAATTTTGAACTGTTCATTGTTAGTACATGAAGTGCTATTGATCTTTATATATTCACTTTCCCTCCTCTTGCCTTCCAAGTCTTTCCTTAGTTTTAGTAGCGTGTTTGGTTCTCTAGGCTTTTCTCCCCTGGTGGTCCCATTCACTGTGAATGCAGCCTGACTTCTCAACTGCCGCGCTGGTTAGCACTGACAAACACCCCAGGACACTGTGACTACCAGTGGTGACAGAGCGTCCACTCCTTCATCATGGATCTTCGCTCTAGGTTTTTGCCCAAGTCCTTTATCTAATCTAGAGAGTGCCCTTTGCCAGCAGCATTAATTATCAACGAACATTGAGTGTTGTGAAATCCCTTTTCCCTGGGGCTTTTTCTTGCATCTCATCTCAGTGTTTTCCATGCTCGCTGCATCCTCAGGTTCTGCATATGTGTTTGTTGAAAGAATGGGACTGGAACGAGAACTCTGGGAGGACTGTCCAGGAGCCTGAAGTGGCTGCTGGGTTACGGGTGTGGGAGGGCCTGCAGTATGCCAGGGACACTAGGTTTGCCTGTATTATTTCATTCAATTTTCACAATAGTGCTCAGAATTCACTATCTCTATTTTCTAAATGAGCAAGGAGTAATAGCTGGAATTATCTATGAGCTATAGGACGGCTGGGTTCTTGGTCTCATTACTCAGTAGAAGTAAAATGGCAATCATTAAGCTTAGAAAACAACAATAAAAAATTATACAAAGGAGGCTGCCTCCAATAATAATGCAGGCTTAAATGGAGTGTGATTCAGCCATCGGCGGAGTGAAAAAGTAAACAACCTGTTGGCCTGGACACAGTTGATGCTGTCCTTGAAGCGACCACAGGACCACCGAGAAGAGAAAGTAGCTGATACAATAGTTGAAGGATACCCTCATGGTCAGAATAGTGCAGCTCTGAGGGTGTCATCTGGGAGCAAAAACGTATACAAAGCAAACCTTTTCAACCTTGGCAAAGGAAATGTCCGGAGGGGATGAGGGAGGCTTGAATACGAGAGAAAAGTCTCAGCGTTGGTGAGTTTCTGTGCTCCACAATAGGTGGCTTTAAAACCCTGTAAGCCTCAGTTCCCATAAAACATCTTATGTACAGGGACTGCTGTAGTATGCACATGCTTGATATGGAACAGGTGGGAGAGCAGGGAAGCCAGCCTGCTGTTCACTGAGAAGAGAACCTCTAGGAATCTGCCCTCCTGCAGACCCTGTCTGCTCAGGGAGCAGGCTGTGAGTGTGAGGGTTGCAAGGACAAAAGCAAAGGCGGTATGTCCTATGAGCACAAGACGTCAGGATGACAGAACGGGCCTGTGGGTCCTGGGTACTTCCTAGGCCAGGAAATTGAAACTGAGACGCTGCCCACTCTCCTAGGCATAGTCAGAGTTAGCTGAGCAATGGGGATAGCCAGGAACTGTGGTTCCTGATTCCATCACCTGGCACCAGGCCAAATGGCACAATGTGAAACTGAGATGATGCTCAACTCCCCTAGGAACAGCCAGTTGTAGCCAGGAACTGTGGCCCCTGATTCTATTGCTTGCCACAGGGCCAAGCGGCACAAGGAATCAGAAAACTAGGTGAGTTCCTAGCATGGGCTCTGTGCACATTTCTAATGAATTAGCCCCTGGATTTAATTAAGCAGGGGTGGGGGGTGGGGAGGAGATTAATTCTGTCTCCCAACAGTGACAAATTATTTACAGTGCATTTGTGTTGATGGTGAATAAAAGAGCGAAGGAGTGTGGGAACAGTCCACGGTAGCTCTAATTCTTCCAGGTCTGTAATGACACAATGGTCTGCATGCCAACTCATGGGAATGGATGAGCCTGCTGCCCTGCGTACACCTGCCATGGGCAGAGCTGCTCACTCTCCTGGGCATAATTCAATCAGCAGAGACGATCGGCAAGACCCCCGACTGGCAAGGCATGAGTCTCTACCCCACCACACTGACTCTCGCTGAGTCTGCTCAGCAACAGTGGCTCCTGTGGAGGCCACCGCTTGTGCTGGAATAGCTCTTTTGAGGAAACTTGGTGTGCAAAGGGGAAGGGAGCCCCTGAATAAGTGTTCCATCTAGAATTGCTCATGATGGCTGAGATTAGGCTGTGTCCAGAAAGTGAAGCACAAAATCATAATATATTCATTTTTTTCATTGACAGTAAACTTTGCAGTATGTATTGATAGATGAGTAGCATTTGTAAATTAAAGTTTAAAGTGTTTTCCTTTTTAGCAAAAAAGAGACTTAGTTATTTATTTTGAGAATCAGAGGAAGAGAGGGAGATCTTCCATCTGTGGACTCACTCCCCAGATGGCTGTAATAACTGGTTCTGGGCCAAGCTCAAGGCAGAAGCTCCATCCTGGTTCACCCTGTAGGTGGCAGGGCTCCGAGCACTTGACCTGCTTCTGCAGACTGTGAAGGTGCTGCATTGGAAGTGGAGCAGTGGGGCACCGAGCAGTGCCCGGGTGGAATGCCGGCATTGCAGGTGGTGTCTTCAGCTGCACCTGCACAACACTTCCCACTAAATCCATTCTTAACAAGCTCTCTGTACTGCACATTTAGACGTAGACATGGTGGGGTTTGGGTCCAGTGTAAGTCCATGGGCGTGTGTCAGTGCTGCCTTCCTTCTCCGTGTGCTGCAGTCGGCTTTCGAGTCTGTCCTGAAGGTTCCCTGATATAAAATGGGGCTGGGAAGCCCAATATCCCTCATGACTTTGTTGGATGAAGATTGTAAGGTGTGAATATGCTTGTGGGTTCATAACCCCAGTGTTGGTGTTTGTTGTGTTTTCTAGTCAACAAGCACAAGCCATGGATTGAGACTTCGTATCATGGAGTCATAACTGAGAACAACGACACCGTCATTTTGGACCCACCTCTGGTAGCACTGGATAAAGATGCACCTGTTCCTTTTGCAGGTAAGATGATGCCCTGACATGGCTGGACTTGGATTGCTGTGCAGAAAACACCCCGTAGTCCTCGCTCAATTGTGGACTTAACATGGTGTCCTTATTTCTGGTGGACTTTGTGTCTCTTGCTTCCAGTGCAATGCCTTACTTATTCAAAGGAGTAGTAACTTGCTAGTCACCCTGTCCCTGGAGACATTAGGCTGGTAAAGTTGTTAGGAGAATTTCCTCTCCCCAACGAGATGATCCATAAACATGGTGAAGTGGGAGAGCCGTTGTGTCCAGTACACACACACCATGGATGGATGGAGACTCGCAGGTTGGTGGATTGACTAGAGGCAGGGAAAGGGCAAACATTCAGGAAGCACAGGCTAGGTGGCCTTGCTATGCGCGTCCAGGTGGACGTGGCCTCCAGCCACGTTGCCCTCTCTAGTCATTGTTGTCAAGCCCTGGAGCAGAGTGGGAAGAGGATGGGTGACAGACAAAGAATTCCTGAAGATGCATGCATCATGAGTAATATTGTTAACATTTTATAACTGTCAGGGGAAAGACAGGAAATTTAATGAAGGTTTTCAAGATTTCTAGAAGATTGCTTTATGATGGATGGGTGCCAGGCAGAGGTTCTCACTATGATGAAGTCCATTTTTTCTGACAGTTTGTCTGCTGTGTTATAAGCTACTTGGGCAGGAAAAAAATGGCTGTTCTGCACTTTTAACAGATAACCTCTGTGAGGGCGTTTTTTTCATTATGAAATAAAGTAAGGCGTGGTGGGTGCTTTCAGTGGGGGCAATTAGGCAGTGCAGGAAGGTTACCCACAGACTTTCCTGCAAAGCACAGGGACGGGGTGGTACTCTGGACTCTGAGCAGAAGGCTTTGTCCTCATGGTATGGGGCGTGAAATGGTATCCAGCAAGCTAAATCACTCTTGCTTTCATGGTGTTTGGGGTTGGGGTGTTTCTGCATCCCTAAAAGTCCAAAATGAACCCAGCATTCAGCAAGTGTTGCAGCCACACTGTCTTTTCCATAAAAGAGTAGGTATTGTTCCCAAACCTTCCTTTCCAGCTTAGGAATGCACTGGTTCATTCTCGTCTTTAGAAAATGATAACTAATATGATTAATGAGCCAGCAGTCCCACCAGCCTTTGATTATAAAGCAAAAGCTCTTAGGATCATATCATGTTTGGCATGCTGTGCGCTATGTGCTTGCGAAATAAAGACAGCTTTTAGATGTAAGAGATTTGGCATAAGAATCTAAGCTCTGATTTATCTTGATGGCTCAGGTCGTACAGAGCTGAGTCCTGGCTTTGCTCTGGGGCCGAGTGTGCCTTCTTTTCCCAAACAGTCCAGCGAGGAGCCCCTCTGGGACCTGCCGTTCCTCTTTCCATCCCTGACAGGAAGTAAGCACGTGTGATGAGGTCATTTTGTTGTGGGGAGACGGTCTCTGATGTTCAGCACTAGTGGACAGGGACACTGCAAGTGTTGACCAGGCTGTTCCACTGGAGCTCATGGCTCAGTAAAGTGCTAAATCAGCTAGAAGAATACCTTTCAAAGAGATCTGATATTTGAAAGTTTGGATGCACAAAATTTTGTTTATTTTCCTTGGTTTTAAGGCTGAAACACAATTAAAATTTTCTTCTGAGGATTCACCAAAATGTTAAATCATGAACCCATCAGATGCCTTTAAAGTTGGATCTGCACTGTGTCTCTTGGCTGTGCTCGCAGGTGTTCAGACATATCTGAAAACTGAGGTGTATTTCTGAGCCAAGCGCTCATCGGCTATTTCTGCCTGAAGACAATTCCTGCGCTCGTCCTGTTATTTGCAGCTGCCTTTAAAAACAAGCGAGCTTAATGCATCAAAATATAATCTTCCAAGCTCTTCCGAGTGAAAACTGGAGGTGCTCTCTGCAATGGTCAGAGCTGCTTTTTTCGGCGTTATTTATGACTTGCGCTAAGACAGGACATAGCCAGTGGCTATCCATCCATGCTGCAGGCATTTATTTTAAAACATTTATCTTAAAAAGAAAATACTCAAGATTTATTTCAGATCGCTATCGTTCTCATAAAATTGAAAAATGCGTATCTGCCAGCTCCATCACTCGTCCCTGTCAGTGGCGACTGTTGGCGCCCCCTTATCGTGGTTCTGGGGCTGTGGGTCAGTTTGCCCTCCCTTTCCCCAGGAGTCTGTTTCCAGTCTAGCCACTGAGGTGAGCTTTGCAGCTGGTGGGAGGCAGTTGGATCCCATTGCTTCCATCTTGTGAAAAGCATCTTTCAGGAAACATGTCTTACCTAGAGATTCTTCTAGTCATATATGATCTCATGTGACTTTCAGTAACTAGCAATAGTGAATGCACTTGCATATAAATACACAATCCAGGGATATAAATTAGCTGTATGTTTTATTTCTTGAGTGTAAAATTAGTGAGCATTTTGCATAAAGTGTGGAAGCCACAGTGACGGACACACGAGTTAAGTTTCCCTGCCACCGGAAAGCACTGCACTGTATTTCCGTTCAGTCATTTCTTTAATCTTTTCTCAAAAAAATTATTATGCTTCTTATTTGCTGTTAATACTAATAAATTTAGTTAGATTGAATAATATAATGTGATCAGATGGATATGTAATCTTTGATAAAGTTAATTAAAACCTTAATAGTGATACTTAAATTATCTGTCCCACTCAACTAATGAAAAGCTGCCATTTGTTTAAATTTTCTGCTATAACTGATCCAATGGCTGTATGACTCACTGCTTCATGAGTGTTCTGTGATGTGCCATTCCTTTATTGATGGGCAGTTGTCTGATTTCCCTTGTTTATTATAATAAATCTCAACATTTCAGTTTCTGTTGCTCTGGTAGATTTCCAGAATTGGAATTAATTGTTCAACAGGTGTAAAGCCCTGAAACACGTGAAAGTTGAATAATTCCAGATGTGTTGGGGGGTGGGTCCTTGCGTCCACCTGTGCAGTGGGTGCTGGGTCAGTGAGCTCCAGGGCTGGGAAGTCACCTGCCTCAGGTCCTTGGACCTGCCTGTACAGGGGGGCCGAGTCCATGAGGCCCATGATTGGAGGGTTCTTGGGTCCATGTGTGCGGTGGGTTCTGGGTCTGTGAGCCCTGGGGTGGGGTGTCTGGCAGAGCCTGCGTCCTTGGACCCACTTGCGAGAACTAGTCCTCCTCAGTGGAAAATACAGCGGTGGGTGGCAGGCCCTGATGCACGTGGAGGATATGGCCACTGGGGTCTGTAGAGAACATCCGGTACCATAGCAGAGGAAAGAGGACAAAACGAATTGGACAGCTACTCCAGCCAAACAATGACAGCAAGAATCTGAACAAATGGAGATTTAAGATCGACTGTTTCAGCCAGTGGAAGTCAGAAGGGTTTCCTCATCCTTGGATCAGTGAGATTGACAGCATTTCAGAACTGTTGAAACCACCTGGCAGAACCCTGGGAGTGTGCGCACTTTGGGACCCTGGCCTGATATTGAGAGGCTGTTCCCCATCCCTGGGTACTGGGGTGATTGGGACCCTGGGTACGGCTTCACTGCTTATCTCCTCCCATCCTCTAGAAACAGGCAGAGGAAATAGAAAATTGGGAATAATCAATACCCACTTTTCCTTAACCCTCGATCCTTCCAACCCTGATCAACTGTGTTAACATTATCAAAAATAAATTAAAAATAAGAAATTTGAATGAGTTACGGTTACAGCCACACCATGTGAGCCCCCGTTGCCTGGCTCTCATCTGCCTCTGTTCACTGGTGTGACCCAGTGACAATGTGGTGGTGATAGCTAAAGATGGCTTAGTTCACGGTGTGACCCAGCGTGGTGGAGTTAGCTAAAGATGGCTCAGTTCATGGTGTGATCCAGCGTGGTGCAGTTAGCTGAAGATGGCTCAGTTCATGGTGTGACCCAGTGACAATGTGGTAGTGATAGCTGAAGATGGCTCAGTTCATGGTGTGACCCAGCGTGGTGCTGTCAGCTGAAGATGGCTCAGTTCATGGTGTGATCCAGCATGGTGGAGATAGCTGAAGATGGCTCAGTTCATGGTGTGATCCCAGATGGTGAAGTCAGCTGAAGATGGCTCAGTTCATGGTGTGATCCCAGATGGTGGAGTCAGCTGAAGAAGGCTCAGTTATGGTGTGACCCAGCATGGTGGAGTTAGCTGAAGATGGCTCAGTTCATGGTGTGATCCAGCGTGGTGCAGTTAGCTGAAGATGGCTCAGTTCATGGTGTGATCCAGCGTGGTGCAGTTAGCTGAAGATGGCTCAGTTCATGGTGTGACCCAGCGTGGTAGAGTTAGCTGAAGATGGCTCAGTTCATGGTGTGATCCAGTGTGGTGCAGTTAGCTGGAGATGGTTCAGTTCATGGTGTGACCCAACGTGGTGGAGTTAGCTGAAGATGGCTCAGTTCATGGTGTGATCCAGCATGGTGCAGTTAGCTGAAGATGGCTCAGTTCATGGTATGATCCAGGGTGGTGGAGATAGCGGAAGACAGTGGTCGCAACTGCCGTCATCTGATATAGGCTTTCCCCGGTTATTGCTTTGATTGAGTGTACAGAATGTCCGTGACTCAAGGTGCAATCATTAAAGACATAGTGAGTTTAGTAAATATTTCCTTTTTCAATCCTTTCTCTCTACTCATTTCCTAGGGGAGAGAACTGACTTGTGCAGGAGCTAAGCGTTTGCCCTGAAGCCCACATCAGGCCAACCTGGGCTGGACAGGAGCCAGGGCTTCCCGGTGCTTGTTCTGAGCTGCCGTTTCTGGTGATGAGACCTGCTCATCCCTGCCCCAGCTGCCCGGAAAGCTGCTGATGCTGAGTGGATGAAACCCCCTCCAGCTTCAGTCACATCCATTCACATGACTCACTTCTCAGCCTCATCTCTGAGCTCTGCAGACTTGACCTTCTCAGAAGGATCAGACAAAGGAAAAATCCTTGAGTAATAATGAAAATCCTGTCTTTTTCTTGGCAAAAAAATGTTAATGAAAGCATGCTGGGCACACCGAGAACTTACAATTTC